ATTTATTTTTCTTAATAAGCTAATTTTTTATTATTTTCTAAATTTTTTAAACATACTTAAATTTTTAAATCATTCTAAAATAAATCTATATTATCTTCAAGTTTTTATTTATCTAAACTAAATGTATGCTATGACTTCATAATTATATTTGGTTTTATGTTTTATTTTAATTTAAATATACTTGAATCTACCCAATATGCTTTTTCTCCAATTAAATTAAAGCAATAACTAATACAAGCAAAATTATTTATATTTTCTTCTGAAATTTTTTATATATTTATATTTATTAAATTTATATTATATTATATTTTTATTTTTTCTATAATTTCTTATGTATTTTTTTAATTAAGATTTTTCTCATTTTAATTATTTTTTTCTTATTTTATTTATTCTTGATCATTCTAATTTTATTATAAAAATTGTACTTATTACTAATTTTATATTTATTATTAATATTATATTTATTATTAATTTTATATTAATTATTATTATATAATTTATTAATCTTCATTATTTAAGGAATAAAGGAATTTATTAAATTATAAATAAGAAACTTCAAATATAAAACTATTATTAATATGATCTTATTCTTTTTAAATGAACAAAATTATATTAAAAGCTTCCCAAAAGCTTATTATTATTTAAAAAAGTTCAAAAATTTCTATTATTTAAATTATATTTATATTAATTTTATCTTTCCACTATTTTGAATAAAAATAATAATAATTTATTTAAAATAAAAATATACATTATTTGTTTCTAATTATTAAATAAAAATATTATATTTTAAGTTAACTTATTCTTATATATTATCTATTATATTTTAAACATACCATTATTAGTTTTCTTAATAAGAAGAGTTTATTTTTCCATATTATTCTATTTATTCTAAATAAAAAAATATTTATTCTATATTAATAAGTTATTATTGTTCATCTTATAAAAAATAAACTAATTAATTAATAATTCCATTATCAAAAAATTTAAATTCTTCATTTAAAAAATTCAGGAAATTTTATTTTTTAATAAATCCTAATTCTGAAATTTATTATAATTAATTCTAAAATTATTTAAAAGTAATATTTTACTATATTAAACTATCTTTTAAAAAAAGAAAGACTTCATTAATTTAATTAACAATTTATTACTAAAAAATAATATAAGCATTATAAGAATCCATAAAATAATTTAAAGGAAAATATTCTTTTTATTAAAAATTAAAAGCATTTGTAATTTACAAAATTAATTAAGGATTAAAATTTAAAGGTAAATTTATTAAAAAATTATGTATTTTTATTTAAGATATTTAATTATTTCTATATTCAAAAATAAATTTTCTTATTTAATTTTCAATTTTTTTTTCATTTTTTTTTATTTAATAAAATATCAAAATAAAGTTTTTTCCTAAATTATCTTCATTTATTAATATTTCTTTATTTATACTTTTTTTATTAATATTTTAAGGAAAATTTGCAGTTTAAAATTCTTTCTCATTCTTTTATTAAATATCTTCTTTTTATTAATAATCTTTATTTTCTTAGATTACTTATATTATATTTGCTTGGTTTTATTTTTATTAATACATTATTTAATATTTTCCAATTTGTTAAACACTTCCAAATAATAAAGTAGTATAAACTTTACCTATTTCTTCTTATTATTAATTACTTTTTAAAATACTTAAATAATCATCATTTAAAATAATTAATTAATTATTATTTGTTTCATAATTATTATTTAATAAACATTAATGTATTTTTCTCATATCAATTATTGTTATACCTAACAAATTTTCTTTTTAAAATTAATTTTTAGTCCAAAATTCAATAATAAAAGGAAAATTAAGCTTTTTTTTTTTTTTTAATATTTTATAAAGTTTAATATAATTTAATAAAACTTACCATTTTATGAATAGCTCTAAAATTTACTTAAAATGCTAATGTATAATTTAAATCTTAGTTATTTTCACTTTTATTAGATTATACATACTCTTAACTTCCATATATTTTAAACTTTGCAAAAAAATATATTTCTTTCTCACTAAAATTTTTAAAAACTAGTATTTTCCCTAAATGCACTAATATTTAAAATCTAAAATTTACTTTCTAATCAAAATTTCTTTTTTTTATTTATAATTTTTAAATATTTTATTATTATTATTCATTATCTAATTATATTTTATTGCTTAAATTTATATTATGTTCTTTTTTTATTTAATTTTTAATTGCTTTTTTATTTTCTAAAAAAGATATTCCTAATTTTAAAACTCCCAAGATATTTTAACTTTATTAAGAGTTATTGCTTTATTATTCAAATATTTAATTGCCATATATATTTATATAAAAAAGACCATTTAAATCTTTGTATTTTAATTTAATATAATCTATATGTAATAAGCCATATCCTAATTCATTTACAAATTTAATATCCTATTTATTAATTTATTTATATATATAATTTTATTTTTACTCTTTAAATTTCAATAGTATTCATCTTTGGTAATTCAAAAACTTTTAATTAAAACTTAAAATTCTATGTGATATATTAATTAAAGAAATTATTTTGATTTAATTTTAATTATTCAATATTAATTTCTTGATTAAATTAGAAAAATTCATCATATTTTTTTTACAATAAATTCTATTTTTTTAGATTAGAAAATATATATAAAAATTTAAATTATGTATTTAATTATTTATATACTTAAAATTATTTTCATCTATTTAAAAACATTCAGGAAAAACAATTTCCAAATAAAAATTTTTATCTTTAACTTAATTAAAAAGATCCGCATTTTAACATTCAAAACAAAAAACTTTAATTTTAATTTAATCTTTTAATTTAAGTTCATCTAAAAAATAATTTTTAGACTAATTTATATTAATTTCTTCTTAAATTAATTCTTCATTAACTTTTTTTTTAATCTCATCAATTTATTTTTCTTTAAATTTTCGAACAATTTGTTTCTCATCATGTTTTTATTAATGATATCTTTATAAATATTTACTTTCTTTTTCTTACAAATAAATTAGTTATTCTCCTATTTTATTAACTTATTCTAATTATTAATTAATAGAAAATTAAAGTTCTTCAGTTAAATTAGGCTTAATACTAATATCTACAATATTATTATTTTTATTTTCATTTTTATTAATTTTAAAGCTTTTTTTAAAGGACTTTTATTCACTTTTATAGGAGAAGAAAACATGTTTTTTCTTTTTATTAATATTTTCAGGAGGCTTTTTTAGATATTTTTAAACTTCGTAATTTTAATCAATTTTAGGTATTAATTTCTCTTCTTCTTTTCTTATTTTTTCTTTTTTTTTTTTAATTTTTTATATAATAAAATCATCTAAATTAAAATTTTTATCAAATTTAAAGTTTTTTTAATTTTTTTTTATTCAATTTCATACACTATTTTACTTATTTCAGTATTAAAATTACTTTAAATTTATAATTTTATATAACCAATTTCTTTTTTATTTAATATAACTTTATATTCTTTATATTATTCTTTTTTGAAAATGGATATTGTTTCTTAATTAATTCTTATTTATATTTTTTTAAATTTAGATAAAATAATAATAAAATAAAAATTATTTGTACAAGTGTTATTATATTAATATTTCTTAAAAAGATAAATAAGTAAAGCCTTATATTTAACCTTTTTCATCAGTAATTCTCATCTAAAGAAATTCCATATCTAATAAATATTATCTAAATTCCAAAATAGAACAGCAAATTTATGCATTATATATATGTTAATTATTAGTTTGTTGTTATTATAATTATTTTAAAATATTTATTTTATCATCTTCACCATAAAAATGAAAATAAATTATATAAAAATCATTAAAATAATCATTATTAAATAATTTAATTTCTATTAATTTAATTTAGATTTCACCATATTTTATTTAAGAATACTTCTCAATTTTCGGAGGTAAAATATTAACTAAATATTTAAATATTAAATATTAAATATTGAATATTAAATATATTATATTTATATAAATATATATATATATATATATATATATATTTATATATAGTTTTTTTTTTAAATTGTATATTTTTAAACATTTGTTATTATTATCATTAATTAATATATCACTTAAATCCATTTTATTTTATTTTTTATATATAAAAAATTGTTTCAATATTTATTTTTATTTTTTTTAAAAAAAAATTTAAATTAATAACATTCACATAAAATATAATATACATTTACAACATAATTAAATTATTAATGTATTTTTTTAAAAAAAATTCTTAATAAAAATATTATTTTATTAAAATATAATATATTAAAAATAAATATTTTATTTAAACTAAAATTATTTTTTTTCTTTTTATTTTCTAAAATCTATATTTTTTCTTATTATATATTTAATTTAAATAAATATATACTATTTTATATACATTTATTAAATAAAAATATATAATTAATAATAACCTACATTATTTTTTCATAATTAATATTAAATATTTTTCAATTTTTAAAATTAAAAATTTTTATTAATAATATTTTTTATATAATTTTTAACGTAAATACATAAAAAATTTTTATTATTATTATAAAAATAATATTCATTTTTTTTTAATATTTTTTTTATTTTAGATTTTATAATTTAATTAAAATAAAATAATATCTGAACAATATTTAATTAAATTAAAATATATTTATATTAAATAATAAATATATTAATCATATTTTATTTAATTATATCATAAATTAAATAATATAATTTATATTTTTTTTTATTTTTAAATTTAATCTGATTTAAATTAATTAAAAATAAATAATAAAAGAAATTAATTATTATTTATATTTTTTTAAAAAAAAATTGATATATTAAACATTTTAATTATAAAATATAAAAAATTAAAAATGGACTTTTCAAAATATACTAATTTTCCTAAAACTGATTATTTATATTAAGAACATAAGCATTTTCTACAATTGCCATTCATACTGGTTGCGATCCTGAAAAGTTCACGGCTCAATAAATGTCCCAATTACTTTAAGTACAACATTTGCCTAAAAGGCTCCTACTTAATTATACTCTGAATTCGATTACGGTCGTGCCGGAACTCCCACTAGAGACGCCTTTGAGAAATGTATCGCAGCCTGCGAATATGGTAAATATGCTATAGCTTTTGCCTCCGGATGTGCAGCTATGACTGGTGTAGTACACGCATTGCCTAAAGGATCTCATATATTAATATCTGACGATGTTTATGGAGGTACAAGCAGATATATGCGTCAATATGCAATAGAAAAGTTTGGTTATTAAGTTGATTTCGTAGACTTGACTAACATTGAGGTTGTAAAAAGCAACTTAAAATAAAATACAAGCATTGTTTGGATCGAAACTCCCACAAACCCTTTAATTAAGTTAGTTGATATTGAAGAATTAATAAAAAAAGTACGTCAAACACACCCAAACGTCTGGATTTTAGTGGATAATACATTCGCCACTCCTTATCTTTAAAGTCCTTTGCTTATGGGAGCCGATATAACTCTTAATTCAGTTTCTAAATACATCGGAGGTCATTCAGATATAATTATGGGAGCTATCGTTTGCAAAGATAAGACTATACATTAAAAAATATATCATGCATCTTTAAGTTTTGGAGGATGTCCTTCGCCTTTTGATTGCTATTTGGCTTTAAGAGGACTTAAAACACTAGAATGTAGAGTTAAAAATCACTGCAAAAATGCATTTTCAGTTGCTAAATTTTTAGAAGATCACCCACATGTTGAAAGTGTTATTTACCCAGGGTTAAAATCACATCCTTAGCATGAAATTGCTAAAAAATAAATGAGAGGACCAGGAGGAATGATATCTTTCAGAATTAAAGGAGGATTGAAAGAAGCTAATATATTTTTATAATCTTTTAAATTGGTTGTTTTGGCAGAATCTTTAGGAGGAGTTGAAAGTATTATATTTTTTTTATTATTTTATATTTTATTTTAATAATAATAAAAAAAAGCTTTGGTTGAACATCCAGCTTAAATGACTCATGCTAGCATCCCAGAAGATATTAGAGCTAAATTGGGAATTACTGATAATTTTATTAGAATTTCAATTGGACTTGAAGATGCTGTTGATATTATGGAAGATTTTAATTAGGCTTTGGAAAAAGCATGTGGAAAAATTTGATTTTTTTTTTTTTTAAATCGACATTTTTCTAATATCATATAAATTAGTTTTTGTTTTTTATTTTTTTGAAGACTTAATTCTTATTATTTGCTTTTGTTTTAGAAGAAATATATATATATTATTAATTTTTTTAAAAGTTAATCATTTATTATTTTTTTACGTTTATCTATCATTTTTTAATATAATAATCATATTTATTAATTAGTTTTTCTATTTTCTTTTAAATAGCAAACTGCACCTCCTGAAATTATCTAAAATATTATTAAAAAAATAGTTATAATCGAAAATAAATTACGTTTTAAACATTTAAATTTTAATATTTATATATTAACAAAGGTTCTAAAACATTTTATGTATTTCCCGTACCTAAATTACCATGTTCATTCCTTTTTGTATTTTTTTATATTTAACTAAAAAAAAAAATACCATCCCCAAACATATAAACCTTAAGAAGTTATTAAATAATTACATTCAGAACCGCATTAAATTAATTATACATTTCCTTATATTTTCTATATATAAAAATCTCATTTATGTATGTTTTTTTTATATATATTAACATACTTATATTTAATGAAATTAATTAGAATTCTCTAATTTATTATTTCCTTATTATCCTAAATCACCTCTACCTATGCAATATATTTCATTATTATCTTATTATTTATTATTTATTATTTATTATTTATTATTTATTATTAAAATTATAATAGAAATATACCTTTCAAAACTAATATATGATTCCATCCTGTACACATTTCTTTTACATTTTCATTAATTTTTATAATATTTTCATATTTAATATTTTCTCCAGTCAATTATCCATATTTATTGTCTCCCCATCTTTATTTAAAAAAAAAACATATAAAGAATGTTAAAAATAAAAACCCAAAAAGATTTCCTTCATAATCTAAAGCACAAACAAATTTGTATCCACAGGAAATTTATTTAATTTAAAAATTAATTTCTTTGTTTTCTTCAAATTAATACAAAATCTTTTTATCAATAAAACCTCCTAATTCAAAAAATTTGTTCTATCCAGTACAATAGACCTTTTATTATTTATTTTATTATTTTTCTATAATGATACTTTAGCGAAAACCACATTTTAATATATATTCGCCATTTAATTGAAAAATAAATTATGGATTTTCAAAATTTCTTTTATTATTTTCGCCTTTTCCTATTTCTCCAAATTTATTTGAGCCAAATCCATATAAATTATTATCAACTTATTTTTAAATTAAAATAAGAATAAATAAACTAAGAGAAAATTATAATATAATTACAATCTATAAGTAAAGCATGATGCCATCCACAAGAAATATTTTTTATTTTTTAATTTTCTTAAATTAGTTTAGGAATTTACAATATATTAATCTTTTTTTTTATTTAGATTATAAAAAAATAAATATTGTAAAATAATATTTATTTACTTTGTTTGAATTCTTAATAAACTCACTTTCTCCATATTTATATACTTTACCATCTATTGTTAATATTAAGCCCATCATACCATTTATTTCTAATTTTTATATTTATATTTAATCGGTTTATTCATCTATTTAAGAAACTTTAAATTCATAAATATCATCTAAATTATTTTATAAAAGTAATCCAGTACTTCCTGAGCCAGTTACCCAAATTTAAGAAAGTTTAAAATAATTTAACTGTTCCATTAAATAAAAATAGAAATTTTTATAAATAATATCTTTTTTAAAAATAATTGAATTAAATAAAACTCCTTTTTTGAGAAATTTTATATGAAGTTATTCCTAAAAATAAGATAAAAAATTATTATAAAAACTAAATTTTTGTTTATATTTTTTGATTGTATTAAAAATAAAAATATATAATATTTATAAAAATATTTCATAAAAACAAAAAGTATATTTGAAAAACTAAATAAACATAAGAAACTATTAAATTTCCTTTATTCTTAATACTATATATATTTAAAGGTTCTAAAAATAAAATAAAAAAATAAAATATTTTTAAAAAAAAAATCTAAAACAAAAAAAAAAAACCAAAAAAATAATAAATAAAATTATATTAATTACATTTCTTCTTAATGGTTTTAATAGTACATCTAGTAACCTATTAATCAGGCATATTAACATTTAAACTAGGAAAATCATTTTAAGCAGTAACATAAAAGTCATAAACTAATCTATCTTTAAGTCCATCAAAAGTCAAATTAAAGTATTTCCCTTTTTTATCTACATAACTACTTCCCTAAATCTACACAGGTAAATTATTCTAATTAAGTTTTTAAATAATCTAAAAAGAAGTTGGATAAATACTATTCGGTAAATCATTTAAAATAACTTTACTTTCGCTAATAATAGTAGAATTCTCACTTCCGATTTTGGGAATTCCAATAACATAAACACTTCCACATTCCGTAAGTGAAAACTAAATTGAAACTTAACTTATAGTTCTATTTAGCATTTTCGGTTATTGGACAAACGATGGAATATTCTAGCTCATATTTTTCATTGTAATAAATTATTCAGTATCTAATCTTGGAATAAAAGTCCTTATTTCGGTCCTCCTAGTATTTAAAAGCTCCACAATTCTAATAGGAGTAAGTTCCGGGTCTTCGTTTATAGGATCTGGTAATAAAAGTAAATTCCAATAGAGTATATTTAAGTCATCTGAAACATCTAAATTGGCATCTTTACACTTCGTTTCTCGTTCAATAATTCTTGCTTTTTCAATTGATACCATTTCAGCCATTTTTGCTATATATTCTTTTTTTACTTCATATAGAATTGCCTATTAGAATAGTTTTAAAGTAAATTAGGCTATTTATTAAGGAGCTAAAGTCCTAAAAGCGATTTTTTTGTAAGTTTTATTTTCTATATTATTCATATTCATTATAAACATATAAATTTCATAATCAATATCCGGTTTTAAATCGTAAATTAAAAAAGTGGCTTTTTTATCAGTCCTTCGGATATAATTAATTCCAAACAAAGGATTACTAAAGGAAAGAGTGTAGTTAAATTTTTAATTTTTCACATCTAAAAAAGTTGGAATAGGAATACGTTAATTCGCAATAATAAAAAAAAGAAAGCCTTTTTAGCTCCCCTTTATAGTTAGTTTCACCGATGAGCGTGTAATTTGACTTATTTCGGGATTTTAATCTAAAAATTAAGGCGGCGTATAATCCGCTGGGTCATTTCTTATTTCAATGCAATTATTTTCGTCTTTGTAAAGTTTATCTAAAGTAGGATCATCCTCATCATCTACATTATAAACAAATAACTCAAACGAATCTTTATCAAATCCGTCTAATAAATGATATACTTTCACATTTGGATCACTTAATTATTATTTAAAATACACAGTATATGATTAATGTTCTTAATCTTTATCAAAAGAAACTTTCGCCACATTTAAAGAAGCCGATAAATTCTCATTAAAAAGTGTAGTACCATCAAAAATATTCTAAATAAGACTAACTTTGACAATAAGTTCTTAATAAGGTGGATTTGGTATTCTTACCATCAGAGGATAACTTTATCCATCCCTTCGAATATATTCCATTTTTTCAAGTCTGACGTGTCTTTTTAAAGTTCCTTTAACCATCCGAATTTCTGTCATTTTTAAATCCGCATAAGTAGGCGGGTAAGTATCTCCTGTTTTTGACCAAGTAATAAAAAATGATTTCAATAATATAGTTCTCGGAGCTGCTATTTTAAAAGTCACTTTTTATTACTTATATTTAATTACGACAGGAGTAGGTCTTATTAAAATGGAAGAATCCAACACATTAGGAGTTAAAGTGAGTGTAGTTTTCGCTTTATGATTGGGATCTTCCGGTATATTAAAATTTATAATAATAGAATCACTAAATGAGCCTACTTCTAAATCATAAGGTAAATTATTATTTACATCAATTAATTTTCCCTCATAAGTAGTTGTAATGCAGGCTATTTTCAAATTATTATAAGTTCTTCCCAGTATTATTTTATTCAAACTATCATAATTGTATACTATGAAATCTTTAGTCTAACCCTATATATCGGGAGAACGTACATTTTATATAGTGGCTGTAATATAGCCGTCTTTATGACTTTACCATTCTTTATTATTCGTTTATATAAAAAACCTCAAGTTTTCATCTTCCATTTTACAATTTGCAAAAAAAGAAAACTTTTAATTAATCGTACATTTTCCATCATAATAATCCACGGTAAAATCTTAAGGAAAATCAATATAAAGCTATCCCCCGTAAGTATTATCTAATACACTCTATTCTGGTTCAATTACAAAGCTATATGAGCTAATTTACTGCCTTGAGTACTCAGTGGAGCTTTTTAATGAAATTAAATTGATATTTTCCGGAGCTAGAAAAGAGACTATGTTTTTGATAGAATTTGAAGCTTGGATTAATTTATAACCATCTATGTCTAGTAATCCTGTTTAAAAAACCTCGTTTTATAGAGAAGTGCTTATTTTTCTATTAGGATTTACTATTCCGAAAATCTTCAATTTTATTTCATTATTAATCAAATTTTTAGAGTAAAATCCACCTATTTTTAACACTCTTCTATATAAAATATAATATAAAGCCCCATCTAAATCTTTTGAAGTGACAATTAATTTATATGGCCCCAAATTAACATCATAATTACTTGGAAAACTAATAAACAGGAATTAGCCTTTCAAAACCTAATTAATAGCACTCGTAAACTTTAAAGTAAATTCATAAGATGCTCTTTCTCCTTCATTTTATGGGTAAAAATTCATCAAAGAGCTTTACATATTGACCGTATTAGCCTCTATAGTAGTAGATTTATTATTCGAGTTGGAATAAATAACATCAGTAGCCGTATTTCCTTTATAATAAATTTTGATTTAGAAATTTCCTACTCTATTAACACTATTCTAAACCAATCCATAGTATTCTAAAATAACATTCATATTCAATATAGAATCTTCATAAGTTTCCAAACTAAGAACTCTCGTAAGAGGATTTAAGTTACATGACTTTAAAAAAAAAAGTCCTAATCTAGCCGCACAGTAAACATCTTAAACATTTCCTTAATACAGATCATTTTAAGGAAATTCATTTGGAAAAGTAATTTTTACAGCCGAATATTTCGGAATAATATTACTTGTTTTTACCTCAAATAAATAAATACCAGCTTTTCCTTTATTACTTGGCAGAGAATTTATATTCTCAAAACTTAAATTAAGAGATGGTGCTACACCCCCAATAATAGCCTAAATATTACTCTATTAGATTGCAAAAGCACTATTTAGGCCTATTTAGTTTCTAAAAGTAACCATAATATTTTAATTTGAGCTCGGATTAGTAATCGCAGTGATTGTTAAGGAAACATATTCTGTATAATCTTATATTTTGAACTTGTCTATAATAACAACATTATTATTTACTGTGCATTAAATTTTATTATCTTGATCAAAATCTATTAAATTCACAAAATTCATACATTCTATAATTCCTGAATAATCACTCAGTTTATAAACTGGATTTGGGAAAGAAAAGTCTATTATATTCACAAACTTCATCGTTATTTTAAACTAGAAAGTATATTTTGCCCATTTAAAGCCTTATTTATCATTATCTAGTATTAATTTTAAATCCTATATAATGCCTATACTAGGATTATCGAAATTAATTGGAATTTCCTATAAATAAACATTCGATTTTGAAGTATAAAGTGTACTTCTGAAATTCATCCTTTAAAAATCAGGTGTTTTTACTTTATTTATGCTTATTTTTAAATTCCCAGTATTTATAATTATACCCGGATTAATAAAAATACTCTACATACTGTTAAAAATAAATGCTTTTTTATTCAATTCCATTAAATTAGTCCCTAATTTAATCTCTGGGTTATCCGCAAATGAAAATCCTAGAGGAAGACTGAAATAAATGCCGTTTTAAGCCCCAGCAGCAATACTATTAGATATATTAATAGTAAAAGAAACTTCTATTTCAGATTGTAAAACAATGCTTCCTGTATATGCAGCTATTATACTAGCAGCAGGTACCAAAGAATAAGAAGTAGAGGTTGCAATTTATACAAAATCAGCTGATTGAGTGATTTTTCTTGTTATTTTTTTTTCTGAAATATACATAAATATCTGAGCTTTAGGTATCTAATTTATAGTAGATGTATATATTAAAGGAATTCCGAAACTTAAAGTACGAGGAGTATCCGATTTAGGAAGTTCATCATAATTTTAGACTCTAATAATTGTATAAGCAGTTCCTGAGTTAAAAACGGAACATTAAAAATTATATCCAATAGCATTTTTCAAACCAGAAATAGGAATACAGTCAATAATGCCCTTATCAGAAAAATTATAACCCAATTCTATTTATTTATATTTTTTTTTATATATGTTTTAATAATAAAATTATTACTTTCATCTATAACTTTATCAATAAGTACATCAATAAAAGAAAAAGTCACAAATGGGTCATCTACTGTTTTAATTCCAGAACTTAAAGCATTTAAATAATTAAAAGATACAATAAGAATATTCGGGACATTTATTTAAGTTGATAAAATTCCATAATTTACATTAATAATAACAGGAGTAACTTTATGTATGAAATCTAAATAATATAAATATTAATTCCCTTAATTATTATTAAAATACATAATTGCCCTTATTAAATAATCATTTGGAATTTGAGGGTTTATTAAACCTTTTATTGCTAATGTTGAAGGATTAATTTCAGTGCCTCCCATTTAAAAAGCATATGAAATATCATTTACATCTATAATTATTTAACTATAAGTTAAATAACAAGGATATATTTTTGTATTGGGAGTTTAACCGAATTTTGTAAATGTACAAATAGGAACACCTGAATAATCGTTTGGAATTTCGAATATTATTTTTCCTGTATTTTAATAGCTACTACTTATAGCAGGATTTAAATCAATTAAAGTAAAAGTAAGTGTAAAAACTATTGTATTTTAAGAAACTATATTCATATTATTATTAGTTAATGAAATATTATTATTCATAGGGCTAGTATCGTAAGAACTTTAAGCTTTTAAAAAAAAAAAAGTATTATATATATATGTATAGGAAAATATAAATATATATATATAAAAATATATATATTTATATTTATATACATATATATATATATACGTGGTTTTATAATTTAAATTTATGTAGAAACTGATACTGAATCTTAATCTACAATTTATAGAAAATTTTCTGTCTAATAAGTTGTAATAGATATTGGTTCTGTGAAAAGTAGTTCGTTTTCTTAGAAAGCATAAGGCTTTATTTTTGCTACAAAATAAACTTAAATATATTCATTAGAGAATCTACTTCTTGTATACTATTGAAAGTTTGTCAAATAAATATTATTCGCAAAAGCTGTACATAATGAATCTTCATTTAGACTTTTATCAAATAAACCTCCTATAATTTAGCAATTTTCAACTGACTCAAAGTCAGTCACTATCATAGAAGATTAAAAAGCATTTGTTGGTTTAAAACTTAATATATATTATCTCTAGAATCCTGAAAACTAATCATATAAGGAATAATAAGATTTCAAACTTACCTAAGTTATTATTCCGGGCAGTATTTTTAATCCAATTACATTATGTGCAAGTTCAATTGTAGTATTTGTTTAAGATCTCAAAATATCATATTTAAATAAATCCGTTATTAGCGATTTTTTGGGATTTTAAACATCTTTTAAACGTAATTTGATTTAAGTACCTATTTTATAAATAATTAATATATGATAATATATATAAAAAGTGCCTTTAGTAATAGATTATTAATTTCCTCTAAAAGTTAAAACATTCGGACTTAATTTAGAAGTAAAACAAAATAAATTTCCTTATAGAATTTATTGTTTATCATTTGGAATATTATCGCACTAAGCCATTAAGTAATCCGAAACATCATATAACATTTCAGGCATAGTTATTCTAAAATCAATATCAGCTGGCAAATCAGTCGAAGGTGTCATTTCAAAAATATAATTGCTTATTTCTCCTGCATTTTAATTTGAGTTTTATTCAAAATATACTAAACCACTTAATAAATTTTAAAAAAGGCTTCGAATGGCCAACAACTGAAAAATGTAAATTTTCATCTAGAACAAATCCGTCTTTTGTATACGTTGTCTTTATAAAAAACTACCCTGTACCTCCTTACTTAGAAGGATTTTTTACTCCCTATATCATTATTGTTATTGGTGTTTCTTTCGGCCAACCATTTATTGGAATTTGTATTGTTCGTGATTTTATGAAAAATGTTCCTTAGGGTACTTCTTTTGGATATGGAGCTAATATCTTAGATTTTGATGGAGTTATGCCTGTTGGATATTAATTTTCGGGAAATGTAATTTCTATAAATCCTGTGGATGGTATAGGTGTATCGAATATCATTGAAAAATAATAATCAGCTATTGAGTTTGGATTAGTTGTCGATGTTACTATGTAATAAGAGGAGTATTAACGAACTCGACCAGTTAATATTTATTAGATATATATTATTAATGTTATTATTATTTTTAAGGTTGTTATTTTCATATTATTTTTTTATGTTTTTTTTTATTTTTAGGGTTTGAATTTTTTTTATTATTATTATTTTTAGTAATGGAGAAAATATTTTTTTTATATTTTACTGAGATGATTGATTAAAATAAAGACTTTAAATATTATTATTCTTATTTATTTTTTGTAGATATTCTTAGATTTTAATAAATATAAAATATATTTATATATATATATATATATATATATATATATATATATATTATTTATTTTTGTGTATATATAAATATATAATATTTTTTTTTTTTTTAATTTAAACATGAAAAATAAAAATTTATTATGAATTGTTAATTTGATCAAAGTTTTTTAAATATTTAGTATTTATTATAAAATAATTGATTAGAAGTAAATACTAATTTAATTTATAAAATTTAATTTTAAACTAAAAAAAAAAATTAAAAAAAAATATATTAGTTTTTTAAAAAAATTTATTTGTTTCTATATTATTTACTGAAAAAATAAATATAATAATATATTTTTATTATTTTTAAATAATCATTAACAAATATAAGTATTTTTTTTAATTTTATAAAATTACTATTATAATTATAATTAAAATTTTATATATCATTTATAATTTATTATTAAAATATAATAAATCAAAAAATACTTAATCAATCAAAAAAAAATAAAGCTCATATTTAATGTTGTAAAAAGAAGATTCAATAAAAAAGTAATCTTGTGTTAGGTTTTAGATAAATTATTGTACATAATTTGGTTAATCAGTTTACATATTAGGAAATATACGTTCCTTAGGAAATTGGTAAATATAAACAGGATTAAGAATGGAATGGAATAATGTAAAATAATTAGCAATATAAAATTAAAAAACGAATAAATATAATTAAATAATAATTACATTTAAAAATTACACATTTATATATAAACTTTAACCAATAATTTTTTACTCATTTATTTAATAATGATAATGATAATAAAATAAAAATAGGATCATTCATGGAAGCAAGTATTATATTCTAATTAACTTGACGAATAAGACTTTTAAAACAGAATAGAATATAAATATTGTATAGCAGATACTAATAATCCTACATGTGTATTTAATTGGGAAGAAGGAAATAATAGAATATTTTTCTTTCCAAAAGTAAGCTAATTATGCTTATAAGACGTATGGAACCATATTAAATTAATATTTAGGCTATTCCAAGAAAAAAATGCGAATGAAGTGTATGTATTGGGCAATTATGATGATTTAGGAAGCTTTGACTAGCCATAAAAAATGGAGAAAATAATAAAAACTGATTATGCGACATAAAGCTAGATAATTTTTTGGGAAAAAACAATATGGGTAAAATCTCATAAAAATAAAATAAAATACAATTATGCGAAAAAAGATGATAATTAAATGCTTATTTTAGATAGATAAACACGCAGATTTAAAATGAAATAAATATGTAATTATGTAATATATATATGTATATATAACATTATGCATTTGTTTTTTTCTTTTAATTCTTTTTTTTTAATACTAAAGAATTGCTTAGAAATTAATGATAATGATTTCTGTATATCATTCACCATAGATTAAATTGACGATAATATTTTTATTGGACCTTATCCTTAAAGTGAAGAAGATATAAAATAATTAAAAAATAGAGGCATTAAAGCTGTCCTGAATCTTTAAACATATAAAGACATGGTTTTAAAAGGAATAAAATACGTAGAAATACTTAAATTCTATAAAAAATAACAAATAAATCCTTTCAATTTTCCTATAATAGATATGGATATAATTGACATGTGTTATAAACTAAAAAATGTTTCTCGTTTATTAAATTTTTTAGTTGAACAATATAAAGTATACAATTAAATTTTTATTTTAATATAAATATTTCTTTTTTATTTAAAAATTATAAAAAAATAAAAAAAGAAAGTTTATGTTCATTGTACGGCTGGTATTTTTAGATCTTCGTAATCTATTATTGGATATTACACTTTTTATAAAAAGTTTAAGTTTTCTTATGCTTTTAAACTATTATAAAAATAACATCCGATTTCAGTTGTTAGTAGAGGTAATAATTATATATAAAAATTCACATTTATATTTAATATATTATTTATATAAAAAAAAAGAATATATTGAAATGGTTATGAATAGTAAACCAGTATAAATGGCTAATTCATAAGAAGATTTAGGGGTTTAAGATAAAGATAAATATAAAAATAATTTAATGTCACCATAAGAACCACTAAGCTTATTTAAATATTGAAAAAGAAATAAATTATATAATAATAATAATCATTATTACATTATTATTATTATACATATTATAATCAATATTAATATTAATATTAATATTATTATTATTATTATTATTATTATTATTATTTTATAATTATTATTAATATATTATATTATTTTTTTATTTATAATTTTTAAAATATAAAAATTTTATTTAAAAATCAACAATATTTTATATTATATTTATTATATTATATTTTTTTTACAATACTAAACATAAAAAATTAAATATTCTTTTTTTAATTATTATTTTCTAAATTTTATTTATTTAAAAAGATTTATTTTATTATTAATACATAAATAATATAATAATATAGACTTGTAGATTGGACATAATATAAATGAAAATAAATATTATAAAATAAAATTATTTTAAATATATAAATATACAATATATTTTATAATAAAATAAAATATAATTAAAACAAAATAAAAACACAAACATAAATAAATATCATTCATTATTATCTACTTATCAAAAAATCTTTTAAATCACTTTTAGCTTTCTCAACGTTTTCTTATAGTTAAGCTTTCTCTTATTCATTTAACCCTTAAGCTATAATTTAATAAAACTAAGCATTATTTTACGCAACTTTAATTAATTATTATTCTAAAAATATAATTTCATCAAATTTATCAAGTGGACATTAATAACTAAATAATAATTATATAAAAAATAATATATATTTATATATTACTTATAATTATATTCATATCTATCAAAATTATTATATTCATCTTCATCATCATCTTCATTATTAAGAAGTTTATTATTTTATTCTTATTATTCTCTAACTTTTTACAATTTATCAACTTATTATTACAATTAACTTTAGAAATCACCTTTATCTTATTAATTTTAATTTTCTTCATCTTCTTCATCTTCATCATCTTCATCTTCATATTGATTTTCTTCTCTTAAATGTAAAATTTAATTACTTAAAGCTACACATTCTTTCATTATATTTTAATAAATTCCCACTAATTCTTAATTTTATAAACCGTTTCCCAATATAGATGCAAATCCAATCATTAATCTTTATTTTTATACTTCACTTTTGAAAAACTTTGTCATTGTAAATAATTTTTAAAAAATTAACTAATTGTATTTGGACCAAAACTACCCAAAAGTACAAAACTATCTTTACAATTATAATAAAAACACAAGCATATAACTTCCATATTTGCCACCAAAACATCTTTTTTTAAATTCTTTATTGACAAACTAGTCAAAGCCTACTTAAAAATAGCCGTAAAAATCTCACTAGGAACTTTCTAATCGACCACCTAATTTTCCAAAATGGCCAAAAACAATCCAATTGAACTTTTCAAACACCCATCATCCAAAAACCCATCCTAGCTTCCTAAAAAGTAGCTTTTTTTGACCAAAGAAAAAACCTATTCAATCCACGGAACACCAAAAAAGTCTCTCCCATTCAAAAATACCTCCCAGCCTTTCTAAATGAAATTTTTTATAATAACAACTACATCATCCACATACTCAAATCCCCAACCTTCTATAGATTTTTTAACTAACTTCTACTATGCCAAATCACTAATTGAATTAATTAAATCATCTTATAAATTTTCTTTTTTACCAATAATTATATAGAAAAGATTCCCTAAATAAAACCACAAAAGACTCTCTTAATTTATATTTTACACTCTAAAACATATATGTTATAATAAATACAAACCCTCATCAATAAAACACGAATATTCATACAAAAAACACTCATTTATAATTGGTAATACTATATTCTAGCTTATTTTTAAAAAAGCATCTTCCGGTATTTATGTAGTAATGATTTTTCCCAAAGTAATTAAACATTCGTTTGCTGCTAAACCGCATACCCCATCATAGTCTTCTTTTTCGATATTTTCGTTATTATTCTTATCTTTTAATTTAAAGAAAGCCTATTATAAATGTGAGCATAAATCATACGCATAAGGCCCTATATTTTCCTAAAAATGGATCACAATACCCTATAGGGCCTAAACTAAGTCTTCACTATCGATTTCTTCCATTAATTTAAGATATATTTCTAATAATTCCTTTAAATGTCCTTTTATTAACTCTCTGGCGTTTTTTTAATAAAGTAAATTATTTAAAGAAAGTGCCGCTTTATATTTCACAATTAAAATTTTGTCATTTAAACATGAACTTACTTTTTAAACTATTTCAGTTAATAATTATTAGTTTTTAAATTTAACGAAACTGAATTTACCTAAAATTTAGCAAGCTCTTGAACGCATAATTCCAGTTTTTTCCTAAAAGGAAATTTCCGGAAGGACTATATTTTATAAAAAGCATTCCATTTATTCTTTTATTTTATTATTTTCCCCAAAAAAAAGTTACTCTTTTAAATACCCTATAGCAAAAAAAAGCCCATCTTTTATTTACAAATTCAATTAAATTTCCGGATTAAACGGATGCACTTTGTTCTACAAAAAACAACTAATAAATCCAAAAAACTTATCCAGTAATTAATTATTATTATTAAAAGTTTTTAATATTCCCTATATTAATTCCATACCTGTAATTTTATTACTCTTATAATTTCCTTATAAAGAAACTTCCTCTTATATGATAAACTCCTAAGGATCTTCATCGAATGTCACTAAATCATTCTATTTTAAATAAATAAGAGGGATAAGGCATTTAAAAAGTAAATTTTCATGCTAATTTTAAATTATATGGACTAATTAATTAATTTAAAGACATCTATTAATATATTTAATAGCAAAATAAATACAAGCCTACCCTACGAACTATTACTAATTCTAAAAAAGAATTTGAATAAAGCTCTCGAGTATTTTCCCAAAATGATTTTCAATTAGCCATTCAGCCAACGGTTATTATTCCTTTTCAATTATTTGAATATTTGCCAATCTTAAAGCAATTTTCGTTAAAATCTAGCTTGCCCATTTTTTATTTTTCCAAAGTATATTTTTATTCCTTTAATTAATAATTTCTTAATTTTCAGTTAAACTACTCAATTCTACAGGCATTTAATGATCTATTAAAAGTTTGAAAAACCCAATCCATTCACTTAAAAGTTCCTTTTATTATAAACTACTTGGCGTTTCTAAATTTATACACTTAAAAAAAATCTTTAAAATCGGCTTTAGAATATGTGCATTTGTTTAATTATATACAGGGGTTAATTAAATGATTATTTTTTAAAAATAAGGAAATACTCTAGGTATTAAAGTGTCTAAATATTTTCTTTTCTCATTCAATTCAAACTCATAGTTATCAAAAATTGCCTTTAAAGCCAGTAAACACCCCAATATTTCTTATTCATTGGTATTACTATGTAATTTTTGGACTATATTTTCCAATAAATAAGGCCATTTTTCAGGAAAATCATAACTACAAACTTCATTAATTATTTTAGAATATAATTTTTATAATTAAGATATTTATACTGACCTTATAAGTGCTTCTAAAAGATTTTATTTAACAGATTCTTTATCCTCATCTGAAAAAAAGAAATTGTTTTTATTTTATTGACTCCAGTATTTTTTTATATTTATCTTTATGTTTGTTACTGCAAATTAACGAACGCTAATTTCGAGTTGATTATTGTCTGCTATCATTATTAATTTTAATAAATATTTCGGTTCTAAGCAGGCTTTTTCTAACTGCTTTTGCCCGTTATTTATTTCTTCTTGATTTTATGGGCTTATACATAGATTTATTGATTGAATTATTTGTTCGATTTCCATTTTTTTTTTTTTTTTTTAATTTTTTTTTATTTGTATTTGTATTTTACAAAGGAACAGCTTTTGTTTATTTTTTAGTTTAAATTATTTTTAGACTTTTTTTTTTTTTTTTTTTGGATATTTATTTTAATAAAGTATTTTTATTTTAAATTATATAAAAAAAAGTAAAAATAAATAAAATTATATATTTATTTAATATTATTTATAAATGATTTTAAATAATTAAATAAAAATATATTTAATAAATATTTATTTTTTATATATATATAATATAAAATTACAATTAATTAATATTTTTTTTTCTATAAAAAAATTATATTATATATTCATTATTTATTATAAATATAATTATTATTTATTTATTTTTTTAAATGTTTTTATTTATCATTTAAATTTTAATAATAAATTTAATATATTATTAATCTAATAGTTTTTTACCGTGATAATTTGTTTAAAAATTATAATATTTTTATTGTTTATTATTATATTTGAACTAAATTTAAACTATATATTTTTAATTTAGAATTTTATAATATTAATTATTTATTCCTATAAAAATAAAATATAAAAGATAAGTATTTTTTTTTTTTTATAAAAAATAAAAACAATATTCTTTTTAAAACAATAAAAAAAGAAATGTTTTTTGCTTATTATTAATTTTTAAAATTATATTTATTATAACAACAACAAAATGTATATAATTAATTAATTAAAAACATAAATATATAAATAATTATAAAAGTAAAAAAATAATATTATTAATAATATATATAAAATTAATTTTATATAATTGTTTTTTTTAAAAAAAAAAGCATCAGTAATTTAAGATATTTTTATCAATAGTAATACTAGAAACATCCGAAAAAGAGCAAGAACCATATTTTCTTTTAATAGCCTAATGTTATGATTTATTTAAATTGGTAACAATATTAACTAAATCCTATCCATATTATTTTATTTAACTTTCCTAATAAAAAGAAATTTAAACAATATTATCAAGAAAGCTTTTATTTTTTCCCTAAACCTTACAAGCAACGTAAAAACAAACTGCAGCTTTTAAAGATTCTGAAAGATTTATAAATTTATAATCCAAAGGCATCAATTCTAAAAGAAAACAAGATAAATGCATTAACTTCTAATTGAATTTTTCTTATAATCTACAATGTTATTATAAAAAATGATAACCTAAAGGAATAGCAAAGTTAAAATTTAAACCCAAAATAACAACTCCTTCCATATTTAAAATATCTCTTTTTGTATATTTCTTTTGAGTAACTTCAATTAAATCTTTTATTTATATAGGATATATTTCTTCATATTTACAGGCTATAAATAAGCATACGATAGCAACTAATTAATATTTATCTTTAGGACAATTCTACTTCTCTAAGTATCTATCAATTAAGTTTATTGTTAAACATAAAGTCTCAGGTAATAATCGAAAACGTTTATGTATTTCAACTAGCCAATCAATCATAACTTCTCTCATTTTTTCATTGAAATATTGCTGTTTTTATATGTAATTGGTTATTTTAAATTTACTCTATTTTTTATTTTTTTCATAATTATTAATATATTTATTTATTATTTTGTTACTTCTGTTTATCTTAAGTATTAAAATATTTATTAATTATAATCAGGTACTTATTAAAGAGGAAGCTTTTATTCTTAAAGCGAAAATTTAGAAAATTAGTTTTCTATTGATTTCATATTAAAATTATATTCTTATGTTTTTTGAGGAAGATCGAAGTTTACTTAGCTAGACGTTCTTTTATGTTAATATTCTTCAAATTTTTAGTTGTTTATTTGCAATATATTCTTTGCATGTATAGAAAAATTGCGAGGAGATTATCTTTTAAAACCATTTTCTTATTCACATATATTTTAATCTTAATATTATGGATTTTTATTTATGTTTTGGTTTATATTAAAAGTTTATTTTATATTGATTTGCTTTTTTTATTTTTTGTTTTATACATAATATATATATATTTATATATTACACTAGAAAATTAAAATATAGGTTATTGTTTTTATTGATTTTAATGTTTTAAGCGAGTATCTTACATTATTTAGTTATTTCTAACTTTTAAACAGGCCATTATTTTATACGGGAGATATTTTTATTTTTTTAGTTTACTTTTCTTATTTTTTTTTAAATATTTTTTTTTATATATATATTATTTAAAAATATAATTAATATTTAATATTTTTAAAAATATTGTTATTAATTATATATTTATCATTTAAATATTAATCTTTTTTTTCTTATTTACATTATTTTTAATAAATTTATTATTTTATTTTTTAGTAATATATAATTTTTTCTTATAAATATTAATAATAAAATTTTATTTATATATATATATATTTCATTTTTCATATATTTATATAATTAGGATTATTTAAATAATAATTATATTTTAATATTTAACAAATATATAATTTATAAAATAATTAATTAAAAGAAAATAATATATAATTAAATAATATAAAAATAAAATACATAAAAACCATAATCCATTAATTATATATTTTATAAAAAAGTAAAAGTTAAGTTAAAAAAAAAAAAGTTAAGTTAAAAAAATAATAATAGTAACATCTAATTATAAAAACTATTTAAACAAAAATAAACTAAAAAAAAATAAAAAAAAAAATGCTCAATATATTTTATGAATTATATAAATCATAATAATAAAGTGGCTAAACAATTTTAGATTTATAATTCCCAGACACATTTATATTAGACTAAAAAAACAGTTTTATATGGTTATTTCGTTCAAAACTAGATGGTAAGATACTAAAAAAAAAAAGAGACAATTCAACTCCATCTTAAATAATAAAATCTAATTTTTCTTTTTTACCCGATAACTAAATATCTATAACCTTAACAAAATTAAACGATGAAGGAAATTTAGAAATCCATCATATGACCGCATATTAAATAATATCCTATTTATAACAAAATGAATATAAGAAATCTTTATCAAAAGAAAGTATATTTTTTCAAATATACATTAAAAATGAAAATAATGAACTTCATAATAATTGCATTAAAGTAATATATAAAAAAGGACAATATTTAATAGAAAAAAGAATAAACAATTATATTTTTGAAAATAAAGAATAATAGAATTATAATGATTTTTCTTAAGAAAATCCTTTATAATTTAAACATTATATTTTCTTAATTACATATGAAGGTATTGAAGAATTCTGCAAAATTTAAAAACTAGATGAACATAAAGAAAATTATATTAGATATATTACTAAACAAATAATAATATAATTAGAATATTTATATGAAAAAGAAAGAGGGAAAATAACTTCATTATAAATTATCTATAAATAAATTGGAAATGAATTCTTTTTAATTAATTGTAATGAAATTACTTTCGATAATGAAAAAAAAATACATAAATTATGGAAAATTTCCTTTAAATATAATTATGTATATCCGAAACTAATACAATAATAATATTTTAATGAATAAATTAATCATTTATAAATCTCAAAATATATTCCTGAAAATTCATCATTTTAATCTAAATAAAGACATAATATAAGTTTAAGTCTTAATATTGATATTGATTCATAGGAAAATTCCAAAAATGAAAAGAAAATTTTCCAAGATTCCATACATACAATAAAAAATAGTCTCGTATTGAAAAATATATTCCTAAAAAATCATAGAAACTCAAGATATTCAAAAGAAATTAACAAGTCAGAATAAAATATGAGCTGTTTTTAATGCAAAACTCCAAATAATTTCTCTATTAATAAAATTAAGAATTAATTTTAACAAATAAAAGAAAAAATAAAATAATAAATTTAGCAATAAGATAAAAATAAATAAGAAATTTCCATTAAAAATAAAGATGATGAATTTTTAGTAAAGTTTTATCAAAAAAGAGCTATTAATTAAATGAATTTACAATTAATAAATTAAGAAAATAATAATAATTAATCAAATAAAATTCTAAATTCAAATAATATTTAAAAAAGAATAGAGGATATTAATAGAGAAAATAGCTTTGTAGATTATAAATCACATAATTAATTTATGAAATAATATAATTAAGTATATTAAGATTAAAAATATCAAGTTTAACTTCTTAAATAACGAAATTATATAAAATTAAAATAGTTTAGTTCTTTAAATACATCTAAAGAATAAAGTTAATATAAAAGTTAATCAAATAATAATGAAAATATAAATATCAATATTATATAAGAATAAAAAAAAATTACAAATAAGTTATTAAGAAATAATATATAATAAAAATTAAAATAAATAAAACTTTAATGATTAAAAATTAAAAAAAAAAAATTAATGAAAAAATTATTAATTTTATAATTATATTATAAATATAATATTTAAAAAAATAAATAAATATAAAATATATAAATATAAAAATATATAAATATTATATATTTATATTTTAATATATTTATAATAATATATTTACAATAAATATAATGTTGTACATTTTTTTAAAATATTTTTTTATATTTAATATTTTTATTTATTTTCTTTATTATAATATTTATTTTAAATTATTTTTTAACAAATATACTAATTTTTTTTTCTAATATTTTATATTTTTTCAAACTTTTTAATTTGATTTAAATTTTTCTTCTTTAATTATAATTTAAAAAATTATTTAGATATTTTATTTTATATTTTTTTTATAAATACTATTTAAATATATATTATTTTTTATTAATATTTTTTTTTTAAATAATATCTTTCTATATGATTTTATAAATATTTTTTAATTTATTTTTTTATTTATCTTATTATATTTTTTATTTTTACTTTTATTTATATTATTTATTTTATTTTTATTATTTTTTAATTTATATTAATAATTTGACTAATATATAATTTTTATAACAAAGGAGGTTTGTATGTTATTGAATTTAATAAATAATTAATATAAGTTTATTTTTATATGTAATGTGTTTTAATATTCATCTATCCTCATACAATTATATTTTTTACTCATTTTTCAATATTATTTTTCCTTATTAAAGTTATTTTAGATATTCATAGTATCTATAATAGAAGGCTATTTTATTCGATTAAAATAAATCAAATCTTATATCAATCTAAATTAAACAATTAAATGATCTATTAATACATTATTAATTTATGTAAATATTTTTTGGTGATTATTTATAAAATTTATTATTTTTCTTATATTTTAATTATTTTTTATCTATATTATTAATTTCTTTTATAAAAAAATTAATTATTAAAAATATTTTTTAAATACATGTATATATATATATTTATATATCTTTTATGATATTTTATCCTGACAATTTATTTTCAAATTTTTATTATCTATTTTTTACATTTATTGCCTTAAAAATTAATTTTTTTTTCACTATTTATTTCAATTTCTAAATTATATTTTTTTATAATTACATATTTTTGTTTTCAAACATATTTATTTATTGAATTATTTTTATTTTAAATGCAAATTTATCTCCTTTTTTTACTTTTAGTGTTAAAATATGAATGATTTTTTATTTTTTTTATATTATTTTTTAAATATTAATATTATTTTATAAATTATATCATTTATTTTTTAATAGTTATTAAATTTTATTTATTGTTTTTTAATAAGTTTTTAATAATTTTTATTTATCATTTTTTTTTTTTTATAATTGTTTGTTTAATTTTAATTCAATTCATTTTTATTTATCTATATAAAATTTTATTAAAAAAATAATGTGTATTTAATTATAATAATATAATTTTTATTTTATATATATATTTTTATTTATAATTCAAGTGAATATTTTTTATTTTTTCTGGCTAAAAAATATATATATAATATAAATAATTTAAATTATTATAAAAACATATATTTTTAATATTATTTTTTAATTATATTTTTGTATTGAAATAAAAAAGTGAATTTTATTAAAAAAATTTATAAAATAAAAAAATAATGTTTAAAAAGCTCTTCGATAAAAATAAAGAATAAGATTCATCCGATTAATAAAAAAATATTAAATATTATTATTAAGAATAAAAGTAATTACCTAAAAACTTTGCCGAGTAAATAATATTCTTAGAATTAGAAATGGAAAGTTATAATATAAATATCACTTTTGTATAAAAGTTATTAGAATTATATGCAGTAAAAATAAAAATGTGTTTCATATTTATCTATATAAAATAAAAATAAGATTGCTGTAGAATACTATGAATCAATAAATAGTGAAAAGTATTTAATTTTCAAAAACAAAACACAATAACTATTAATGAAATAAAATGTAATAGATGCTATCAATTAAAAATAAAATTATAACAGAAATGAAGATAAATCTTGTAAAAAATACTTAAAAGAAAATTAAAATAAAAAGGTAAAAATAGTTATAATATTATTAATAATTAAAAATATTTATAAATAATATAAAGGCAAATGAAATAAAAAATTAAAGATCATAATCAGTTTTTGTATAATAAAAAGAATATGATTTAAAATTATAATAAATAAATTTAAATAATTTTGATAATGCAAGAAACATTTTAACTAAACATCAAAAGGAAGCTATTAATAATAGCCATATAATTGAATCTTAAATTAATAATTAAAAATAAGAGCTTTACGAAAGATTAGAAAAAAGAAGAAAATATACATTGAAATAAAGAGTTTAAACTTAAGAATCTTATTAAAATTGAAATTAATTATAATTTAATATGATTTTTAAACTGCTTATGTATATATAATTTATTCAATAACTATTCAATTTTTAAAAGATATTTATATTTTATAATAGTAATAAAAATTTTATATATTTATTCTTAATATTTATATAAATTTATACTATGGAAATAGGAACATTAATTTATTATTTTATTAATATTTTTTTTAAAAAAAAAATAAAACATATTAAATTATTTTGATTATTTAAAAATATTGTATCATAATAATTTAATTTAATAATAAAATAATTAATTAATTAATTTTTTATTAAAATAAATAAAAGCTTATATATTATTTTTAATAATATAATAAAAATTTAAATTAAATATATTTTATAATTAATGTTAAATTATAAAAATACAAATTAAATTCAAAAAGTATTAACTGGACATTTACCTTATTTAAAAAAAACCACATCAGATTTAGAACATGCCTTGCATTCATTAAGAAAAGTATGCCAACCAATACCGTTACTACGATAACCACAGACCTATTACTTATTAGTAGGGCAATTTTTAAGTCCTTTATAATCAGGGTCACAAACTTGAGCACCGGAAGGAATTCTATTACATGGCCCTATAAAAAGGAAAATATTAGCTAATTCAGAACAGGCCATGCATACATTTGATTGATCAACTTTTATTTATTCATAAGGCTAAGATCCTTATTATATTCCGCATACAGGATGGGCTTCTCTTGTGCATCTAAAATTTTTAGCCCTTTATTATTCTGTGCATCTATATGGTTAATTATCTTAATAAAAAGCGAAAGATTATGCCAAAAGGATAAAGAATAGAATTAATATTTTTTACATATTTTTTTTTTTTTTTTAATATTTTTTATTATAAATATATTTTTTTCTATTAAATTTAAATATTAATTTATTTTTATTGCTTACTTTTATATTTTAGATTAAATTAATTATTGTAGAGTATTATTTTGTATAGAATTATATCAAATTTGATTAAATATTAATTTTTCCCATAATAATAAATTAATTTATATAAATGTGGCAATTATTTTTTAATTTTAAAAAAAATATAAACATAATAAAATATATTTTTTATTTATTCATATTTTATAAATTTAGATTAATTATTTTTTTAACTTAAATTTATATAAATAAATTTTAAATAAATATTAAACATATAAAAAGTTTATTTGATTAAAACAAAATAAAAATATTTTAAATAATATATAATATTATATCAAATTATAAATAAATAATAGATATTTTAAATATTTATATAGAAATAATAATTTTAAGATTAAAAATATAATATATTAAAATAAAGTTTTAATATATTAACAAATATATATCATTCAAATATTATTTTCTAAAAATAATAAATAAAAAAATATAAATATATTTAAATTTAAATTTATTTTTATTAATATTTAAATAAAAAAAATATTATTATAATATAAATTAAGATTTTTTATAATTTTAATATTGAAAAAAAATATATTTGTAGTTTTTGAAAAAAATAAAATATATTTTTTAATTTTGTTTCTTTTTTATAAAATTATTATTAATAAAATATTTATTTTTTTTAAATTAAATTTAAATATTTATTTATTATAACTTAATTTTTTTTATATAATATTAAATAATCATATATTTAATAGTATTATTTTTATAATAGTACATTATTAATTTATCTTAAAATTTTAATTTTTCTTCACTATATTTTTAATTTTTTTTTAATATATGTGATTATATTAATTTTAAACAAATTTAAAATATATTAAAATTATTTTTTATTTATTCTATTTTATAATTATTATATTCTCTCGTTTTTCTCTTATCTTTTTATATGTAAATATGTAATATTATATCTTATTTTTTTCGTTTAAAAATTATATTTGTAAAATTGTTTATAATAAAAAAATAACATAATCAATAATTTATTATACTATTTTTTAAAAAAAGCCATATATATTTTAATTAATTATATGAAATTTAAAATTTTAAGATTAAAAATAATATATATAAAAAAATTAAAATTTTTAATTTAATCTTTTATATAGTATTTTTATAAATTATAATATATAATAATTTATAATAATTATTATTTTTATTATAAATAATTTTAAATAAAAAACTTATGTATTATATTATATATAAACTATTTAATTTATTATAATAATTATGAATTTATTAAATATTTCAGTTAGTTTTATTATATTTTTCATTTATTTTATTTATAATTAAATAAAATATATTAAATATTTTTTTTATATTTAATTATTTTTATATTTTTTTTTTAATTAAAATATTATAATTACTTAAATATTATAATAATTTAAAATATTTTTTTATAAATATTTTATGTATTTTATTTAAAAATGACTTTATTTTCTAACTAAAATTAATTTTTTTTAAGTCTTATCAGATTATTTTTTTTTGGAATTTTTGAAGAAACTCTAGCCAAGACAATAGTTTTAGATTCTGAATATTGTGTTCGTAAGCCTATAAATTATTCTTACTTAATCTGTTAAATTACCTTATGCGGGTGGGTTATACATTTTTATAAACTTATAGAATTCATTTTAGGATAGATCGTAATTAATCTGATGCTTTGCTTATTTTTGCATCTAATGTAGATTCTATGTGCGTTCAATTAAATAATATTTTAGGGGCTAAAATTATTAAATTTGATTATTCTTTTAAAATGTTAGAGCTTATAAAGAAATGTGGGAGCAGATTATGTATGCAATTATAATTCTAAAGAAGGGAGATTTCTAAGATATACGATGTTTTATTTTATTTGTGATACATTAGGTAAAATATATAAATTGTTAATAAGAAGGCTTAAAGCTATTTAAATATAATAAGAGCATGTATATAACCACTGATGAAACTAATACAATTTGGAAAAGACTTTAACTTACTTACTTTCGAAGTTTTTAGGGTGATTGATATTAAAAAAAATAGTTCAATTTTGATAGAGATAAGGTCTTTAGTGAAATATATTTCCGATTTAAGTTATTAGATCAGGCAAGGAAAACATATTCCATATTTATATTATCAATTTTGTTTAATTGTGAAGGAGCTTTTTAAGGATTTAAGAAAACTAAAAGTAAACGAGGAATTAGACAAAATAATTATTAAATTAAAATTATTAATTTTAATCAATTAATGAGTATATAAAAAAATAATATTGTATTAATATTTTTATAAAATAATTTATTTATAAATATTATATTTCAATGATAATTTGATATATTTAAATTAATTTTATCTTTTTAAATGATTCATAAATATAAATTTATTAATAAATATGAAATAATATATAAATCTAAATATAAAAAAGCAATTTTCATAAAAGAAAATAAAAGAAAGAAAAAGAAAATAAAGAATAATCTTTAATTATTCTAAAATAATTAATAAATAAATAAAAAAAGAGTAAAAAATATTAATAAAAAAAAAAAGAATACAAAATCCCAAAAAAAAAAAATGTAATAAAAATCATAAAAAGCAGTTATATATACTAACTAATCTCCTAACTACATGTAATTCACTGAAAATCACTAAATTCCTTCTCCAGATAATAAAAATATCATAATCGAAGTCTATTCAGCTGCTATAAATCCTGTAGATTATAAACTTCCGTACATATTTGGTTTTACGATAAAAAATAACATCGTTGGCTATGATTTTTCCGGAAAAATAACTTACGTACCTCCCCATATAACCCAATTTAAAGTCGGTGACGAGGTTTTTGGTATGAATAAAGGTACTTTAGCCGAAATAATAAAAGTATAACCTGACTCTTGTGTATTAAAACCTACATAACTAACCCATTCAGAAGCCGCTGCTTTACCTTTAGCTTGTCAAACATCATTATAAAGCTTAAGAAGTTACGGTAAACTAATTCATGGAGAATCCGATGTATTAGTGATTGGAGGTTCAGGCGGATGTGGTTATTACGGAGTTTAATTAAGTAAAATTTTAGGCGCAAAAAGTATTACAGCAATCTGTTCGAGTAAAAATTTCGATTTCGTAAAGAATTAGGGGGCTGATTTTTTACACGATTACAATTCTCCAGATGGAATGTTACCCAAAAATAAAAAGTTTGATATTATTTATGACACTGTGAGTTCCCCAGAAGACTTTGATTATTACCCAGAAGGAGTAAAATTACTAAAAAATGAAAAAAGTGTATTTGTGGCAATTAATGGGTAAAAAAAAGATTGGGTAAGGAAAGGATTTTCTAAAGTTTTAGGAAATTGGGTTTAAAAAAAATAATATTAATTAATGCTTTTAGGATAGAATTAAAAGGATCTATCTGATATAGCCTTATGGGCAAAAGAAGGAAAAATTAAAAGTATTATAGATAGTGAATATGGATTAAATTAGGAAGAAGTTATTTAAGCTTTTGATAAACTTAAAAGTAGAAGAGTTGTTGGAAAAGTTATTATTAAAATAAAATAATGAATTTGTATTTATTTATAATTTTTGTAAAAATTTTTATATAAAAGTTTTTAATTAAAAAAAATCTTATATATGTATGTATTTTTAAAAAAATTATATATATAAAAAAAAAAATTAATTTACTAAAAGTATAAAATTAAAAAAATGAACACAAATACATTTAAATCATTAAATCTCCATTCATTTTTATTAAAAATATGCGAAAAAATAGAGTACAAAACCCCCACAAAAATCTAATAATTATCAATTCCAGCAATTTTAAATAAAAAAAACGTCGTAATAAATGCTGAAACAGGAAGTGGTAAAACTGCTGCTTTCAGTTTTCCCATTTTACAATTTCTTTCTGAAGATCCTCGCGGAATATTTGCCATAGTCCTAACCGCTAATAGAGAATTAGCACTCTAGATAAGTGAATAATTGAGTATTTTTGGTTCTTCATTAAACCTGAGAGTGTCTACACTTGTTGGAGGTATTGATTTTGCTAAGCAGGCTTCTGAATTGGAACTTATTCCTCATATAATAGTTGGAACACCAGGCCGAACAGCCGATATGTTAAGAAAAAGTGATATTTTTCGCGAATATGTGGAGAATTTAGAATTTTTAGTGCTAGATGAGGCCGATAGATTATTTGAAGAAAAAGTGTTTACTGATATATAGGAAATAATAGGCTAAATTCCTGAAAAAAAGCAAGTAATATTAGCCACAGCGACTATAAACGAATAAGATTTTTGCCCAAAAAAGCTATAGAAAATTTTATGTATAAAAGACAATATAGAGTTTTTTAGTACAAACAAATAAAAAAAAATGGTATAAACTGTCGTTTAAAAATATGGTTTAATCCCCGAACTTGTCAAAGATGAATTTTTAATAAATATACTTGAAAAATATAAAGAAACATAAATAATAATATTCACAAATAAATGCCAAACATGTAATTTTTTACATTTCTTATTAAAAAACCTAAACTTCTCAAACGTAAATTTGCATTCTAAATTAAAATAATCCCAAAGAATAGCTCATTTAAAGACTTTTAGAAATTAAACTGTTAATATTCTAGTTTCGACAGATGTAGCATCTAGAGGTTTAGATATTCCGGCAGTTTAATTGGTTATAAATTACGATATGCCGAGAAATTACGAAGATTATATACATAGAGTTGGTAGAACAGCCAGAAAAGGCAAAAGAGGGGTCTCTATTAGTATTTGTACATAATTTGATGTCGAACTTTTGAAAAATATAGAGGCTAATATAGGAGAGGAAATGAAGGAAATTCAAATCGATAATGAAATTATTAATGGTTTATAGGTAAAAGTTGGAAAAGCTAAAAAAATAGTCAAAATTTAACTATCAGAGAAAGAATCGAAAATAGAATGAAAATTATTAAAATATATATATTTTTTGTATTTATTTAGTAAAAACATATTATATATTTATTATTTTTTAAATTTTTTTTTTTAAAGTAAAATATGTAAAATGTTACTACAAATTACACAATAAATAATATAACCGAACATAATGAAAAAGCATAACTTTTAAAAAGAACTTCCACAAACAAGCAACAAATATAACATTAAAATTAAATAATCTACCAAATTAATTCCCTATTAAACCAAAAGCAAGAATTCGACCCTAAAATCTTCGTTAACCAAAATACAGAAAATATATAACATGAATAATAAAAAATACTACAAAACCCAAATATATATACAAAAGAGAATCCTTTTTCTATTCAAATAAAATTAGAGACTTCCCTTTATAAATCCTTTAAATAATACGAGGATGATATATAAAAAACAGCAATAGAAATAATCAATTATGGATTATTTTTTACTCACTAGCATATGAGAAATATATCCGAATATTTAAAAAAGAGTAAAAAAAAAGTACGTTTTTTGACTTTTACAAACACTTAATTTACATTTGACCATTTAAAAATATTACATAGCGTTTTCCTAATAAATTAAAAGGATTTATGTTTAATTTTTAACAACAATAATATAGATTCGTTAGATTTTTTGGAGTTTTTATTCAAAAATTCTTAATTTAAAAGTATAAAATTCTATAATAACATCGGCTTATGGAAATTACGGGAAACAATTTCATATAGATACAACCAAGGAAGATTTATATAGAAAATATACCTAAATGAATATAGTATACATCTCGAAATAGATGATATTTAACTGCTTTTTCATCTTTATCATATCAATTATAGATGCGAAGATCCTCCGAATTTCACCAATAAGCCTTCTTTTCCAGTTTTTAAACTAGATTTGGTAAATTTAGATAGTTAGAAATCTCTATAAATACTAAAAACGGGTTTTTCGAGGATTGATTTACCTTAATTGATTTATTTAAAAATTTAAGTTGATGAAAATAACGTATAGCTATTATCTTAAGCTTTTTAAATTTGCAAAACAATCCATTATTTAGATATTTCGAACTCTGACTGCTTAAAAAAAGGCAATTATATGGAAATTTTAATGCGAGAAAATCCCTCTTTCACCGAATTAATTTGCCAAAATATCCCCTTTGAGGAAGAAGCCTTCAAAATATTAACAAATAAGCTTCTATATTAAAAAAACTCGACTTTGAAATCCCTAAACATCTCAAATTGTTGCATAAACGACACTTTAATCCACATCCTAACTGAAAATTTAGTAAAATGGGAAGGTAAAATACCTTTATAGTAACTCTATATATAAAAAAATACCGAAATAAGCCCTTAAGGTTGGAAAATGTTATGCACGAGATTAATTTTTGGATAAAACAGTAATATTATAGTATTAGATGTGAGAGAATGTGATCTTAATTTAGAAAAAATAAAAGAAGGATTCATATTAGGCATGAAAAGTAGCCGTAGATTTGAAAGGAAATTCTCTATAAGATATCCTTTAAAGTCTTTTTTTTTCTCCACTAACGAACTTTGTATAAATAGTTGGAAAATAATCACTAAAGACTTTATTTTTGCAAATAAAATGTGTTTAACTCATATAAATTGTCATTTTTCTAAAATAAAAAATTAAATTATTTTTCTATAAAATTCCCCGCCACCTCTAGATTATGAAAAAGAAACTTAAATAAAAAAAAAAAATTCATAAGATATTATTGAAAATGCCATTTTTGAGCTTTTAGATAATTACATGAAATAATAATAAAAAGCATTCCTAAAATCATTAGTTTTTCATAATTCAAATTAAGATTTTTAACCAATTTCTTCTTAGTTTTCAGGTTCATTATCACCCGGAGGTTGGAAAAGACTCTTTTTTTTTCTCAATAAGTGCGATACATTAGTAATTCCTATAAATAGCTCGATTAATATAATTCCAGTTTTACCTTTATTTAATGAAAATCTAGAACCTTAGCCATTACCTGAAAATAAAATCAAATAATATAATTGCGAATAATTTTCTCATTTAAAATATATTTTCCTGAATTCCGATTCTCTTTTTCATAAAATATACAGGAGAAATATTTCTCCTTTCTAATGGCTTTTTTTTAATATAAACTCATAAATCGATACTATAAAAACTAACTCTTATTCATTATTTTTAAACCTAAGCATGCATATATAAGGCGATCATTAATTTTCTATCAAAATAATTGATTTTGAATGGAAAGGGAAGGAGAAAGGCTGGTAAGTATTTACCTAAAATGTCTTATTAAACAAAAGATTTTAACTCTAAAAATTATTCCTAAAAAACATTAAAATAGACCAAATATTAAACACACTCTAAAAAAACCAAAACCAACAAGAAAATTTCTCCAAATAACTAAATTACGCTTTTTTATAGTTTGATAATAACGAAGACCTAACCCCGAAAAAATTCACAGAATTTCTTTTTTCGATTTTCGACGCAGAGAAACTCCATATAGTATATAATATAAATAAGTAAGTCTATAATATCTTCCATATAAATAAATATGTGAAAGGATAGCATTTTCTATTTTCTAATAATATCCCTTATTAAAATTTAGATGAGCCTCTTTTTCTCAGAAGCTAAGATCTGGAACCTATAAACTTATATTCCGAATATTTAGTTCATTTTTGTTTAAATAAAGACGGTACTCTTTCACTTATAGAGGAATAAAATATAACCATAACATAAGAACTATAAAACTTTTGTCAAAAAAATTTAATCTTATAGTAATACTTTAGAACTAAAAAACACTACACTAACTAAGTTCGCTAAAAAATAACAGATTTTATTTTCTCTCAACTTTCTGAACCCCCTTAAATTAAACTGAATTAATTAATATCTGATTTAGACACTGATATAGACCAATTAACAAAACCCTATATAATTTTCTCAAATAAAAATATAGAACTAGCCGATCAAATAATTCATTTTAATTAACATTTATTCAATGGTGGCTCTATTGTAATTTCTTAAGATTAACTTTCCTAAATAATAAAGTATACCAACCTAATATATTTAATATTTTAGAAAAAAACTGATTTCAAAAAGCCTATTATATACCTCTCCTTATACGAACAATACGATCGATATAAAGACTTTATCGGTTTTTCCGTAATATAGGAATAATTTTAAATCAATTTCCATTATTTCCAATATATTCTTTTCGAAAAATATATACAAAATCTTTCTTCTATTAATTATTTTCCATAAGAACATCATCCATATAACTACTATAACAACACTGAAGTATTCCAAACTGCAATAGTTCTAATTTTAGATTGCGATTGTACTAATCTTTGTGCCTAATCTTGTGGCAGAACCTGTGATTTATTATTTTATTATAACTTAAAATACACTCAAGCAATAAAAGAGAAAAATTATTTTTTTTTCTTGGAAAATAAAAGGATTTCGCCTTTCCATTTCTCGCCTTTTCTTTATTTTGAAATTGTAAAACTTTATGGTTTTCCACATTTATTGAATTTTTTATATTCTACGATTCTTGTCGAAGAAGAAGATAAGGAATAAGAATATAAGCAAAAAGCTTTTTTTTGTGAAGATTACTTCTTTTTTATCTTCCCTTTTTTACTGTATTTAGCCCTTTATTTTTATTGCATATTCAAATAATAATAAGTAAATTTTATTAATTTTTTTGAGTATATATTTGCATTATTATTTCTAATATTGGAATATTTCCTTATCATTTTAATAAATAAAAGAAAAAAAGTAAATTAATGGCTACTTTATGATGATTTTGTTTAAAATATTCTCAAAAATAAAAAATAAACAGCCTTGGCAATAATAAATTCTTTTTTTACCAAAATTGGATTAGTTATTTACTTATAAGACTATTAAGTTTAAACTTTTTGTATTTTAAGTGGATGCTTTATAACTCTTTTAACTTTATTTGTATATTTTATTAAACATAAGTCCTTTATTTATTCTGATTTTTATTGGAAAATAGGCCTTTTGGCATAAATTTCAGACTTAGAAATCATACAAATGACTGTTTTTAGAATTTCATATTGTTATAATATTTCTTTTTATTATTTCTCGCCAAAAATAAAATACATTATTAGTATTAATAGGTTCTATTTATTCTTCAAATTGCTATTGAAAAATTTTCCTATTTAAATTTACGCGTTTTATTAATGTTTTATTATGAATTAATAAAAAAAAATTACAATTTTTATTGTTTCATCAATTAATATGACTGTTTAATTATTTTTATTACTTTAAAGCAAAGAAAAAATAATTAGTTTTAATAATTATAAAAATATATATTATATATATATATATATACATATATATAATATTTATATTTTTAAATAAGGTTTACAAGAAGTATAAGATATATATTAAAATGGCAAAAATATACTCAAAAAATATAAATAAAGATATTTAATTGAACATGATAGATAATTTGAAGATTTTTTAAGAATTTTTAGGTGATAAAAAATTAAAGAAAATATAATTATAATGTAAATAATAAAATTTGTAATTATTCAAATTTTAAATAAATATTTTTTATATATTGTAAATTATTTTATATATTTATAATTATTCAAATTTTTATTATTTTGAAATTGTTACATATATATATACAAATATATTTTAATTTGTTTGAAAATATATATTTTTATGATAAATAATTCTTTTATTTTTTAAATCTCATATTTCAAAAAAATTAATAATAATAATTATATTTCTAACGTTTAAAAAATTATAAAAAACTATAAATTAACTTAGCAAAAAACTTAATTTTTAGTTTAATTTTAACATTTAATATTAGTTTTTTTATTTAAAGAGATTTTAAATTGATTTTATCACTTACGAAAAAGTTTTAATTTATTGTAATTTATAGATTTAAATCTATTTTTATTTATAATAAATTTATCAATATATTTAAACAAAAAAATATTAAATACCTTATATTTATCAAATGAGATATATTAT